AGGCGCCGCACATTTTCACGTCAAGTTTGGATTTTATAAATCACAACCTTGGTGTAAAAAGTGGCGTACACAAGTTTCTGGACTCAAATTGGGCGTACGCCAGTTTTATAAATCCGACCCCTGAAACCTCTATGTATGATGGCAGAATGACAGGAGGTGGGTTGAATCACAAATTAAAACTCTAGTGGGATTACTGAAGTCAATACTAACACAAACACAGGGGGCTGGGCCGGGTGGGCTAAACTTCTCTTTATTCATACTTACAGGTAGCTTCCTGCACCATTTTGGAATCTTGGTTGCAAATAAAAAAAATAGGCAAGGCAAAGAAAATACAAAACATGCTTAAAGCAAAACTTTGTGTTTACAAAGATGTGCACAACAGAGATGACTGGAACTGTCATTGTCACACTGGCTTTTACTCAAACAAACTGGTTATTTGAGTCACAGCAGCGACATAAATGTGACCCATCACATCGAAACGAGGATTAAGTTCTGTTTTGATTTAAATGTGTGCAAAAATTGCATTTTGTCAACATTTATGCCTTTTAAATGTATCTTATGAATGAACTGTCTGAAATATAATACTAAAAATCTTTTGAAACATTTATTTTTGAGCAGTTACAACAAAAAACCTGATTTTGAGGAGAAATTACTTCAAATTTTGAATTTTTCCCTGTGAGCTAGAAATGTTTTTGTTTCTTTCCAACTGGAAAATCTTAATATAAAAATAATGTTTGAGGTTTATTCTTTATATTGATATAAAAAATTACTCAATAAATTTACATAAAATTAGGATTCAGACCAAACAGTAATGTATTATTGTAACCAACAAGACAAATTAAGTCATATCTCTGGATAAGCTTATGATATCAGAATGATCCAGGTTATCAAAATGTAGCTTTACAAGCCAAGAATCTGAAAATGTAATTAGGTCATTTTGACCAAATTTGACTTAATCCTCATTTCGATTTGATGGGTCATAAATTTGTTGTGATTTTGTTTCAAGTGACTGCGTGATGAGTGTAGACAGACTCAGTGAGTCTGTGTCGATCTGATCAGTTGTACCTCAGTCATGCCAGGGGTGATGGTTGGAGCTGCAATGAAGACGACRTAGGGAGCAAACTCTGCTGTCCTGAGGATCTTTAGTGCCTGATGAGGAAAAATACATCTTTAGTTGATTTCTGTTCACAGAGTGTAACCAAAACTGGACTAATAATACTGTTTACAGCTCAACTGTCTGAGTCATCAGATGAATAAGAGGTGTGACATGTAGAAAAAACTGCTTATTACTGATACTCTTATATTATGTTTGCAAAGCATTATGGGAAAGAATGGTCCTAGTCTCAGAGCAATTTACAGCTGTGTGGCTAATTTTARTGTCAACAGTCCAAACCTTTTTTGCAGTCTGTGACGGAAGAATATCTTCTGACTCCCTAACTGCATATTACCTTGACATGTCCTGTTCTGTATCTCTTGATAACTTGCCATTATATAATCTATTTCTCATGATTCTTAAGATACTGTGTGTACTCATGTAATCTTATGGCCCATTTACTTGTAACTATGTCATTGGCTCCTGGATATCTCTGACGCTCTTATTTTGTTAGCAGGATGTATATATTGTCTGTTTCCTGTTTCCGGGTCAGCGTGAGCTTGACAGACGGTTCGATTCATGTCTGTCCGGCTCTGCTCATTCTCTGGCTCTGCATATGCATCTTTCTATTAAATAATCTGAAACTGAGACCACACATTTTCCACTTTTTATCTCCCGCATCTCTGCCCTGGCGAAACGGAGCCACGACAGATGRCGTTGTCAGTAAAGGACTCTTTCCGACAGCAGGCTAGCTCCATTCCAGGGCCGAAAAACTCTCTTTGATTCTGTTTTTTTTCCCCTCAAAAAAACTGTTTGGGGGCTTTCTTTCGGCTCGGGGACAGGTGAGCTGTCCTGTCGKMGGAGGAGAAAAACGAACCTAAATTTTTTGGAAAATGCGGTGAGATTTATGACATTTGTTTGTATTTCAATGCTAAGCTAAAACTGTGCTAAATATTGCTACCAGGCCTCGCTAGCCGGGAACACGAGTTTCTATGGGGAAAATGCTAAGCTAACTTGGTCTGAGACGCACGGACTTCTGTTTTTCTCATTTTCTGTTGCTTTTATTAGCCTCGTCGAGGGTAGGTTAAGGAATTGTTATTCTTAGTGTGCAGTTTTCCATTCGAGGTAGGGATAATAATTAGTGTTTGTTTTTTCCCGAGTTTAGGCAATTCATTAACTAGTAGGCAGGTATTTTGATWTTTGTTAAGGCGTTATGTTCACACCACTGCTTTGTGCTCAATTCTGACGTGTTGCTCAGATCAGATTATTTTATCATGGTCGTTCACATCAGTCCAGTGAACAGTCCATGGCCCTGAAGCAACCCTGCAGAAGGAGGAGGAAATATGAACGCACCCAAGTTAGCATGTGTGGATCAATACATAGTTCCCAAGTGATGTAATATTTCCAACCAAAATGGCCATGTTGGAAGGAGGAACTCACATTAGACATTAGTGTGTTTGATTATCAAGGAGATTTTTAAAAATTATTTCATTTTCAATTAATTTTTAGCAAAGCTGGCAATGATTACTTCATGTCGGGCGAACAGATGTTCCAAAAGGGTAGGTGGTTCAGCAAAGTGCAGTTTTCACAACATCCCAAAAACCAGGAAATATAAAGGATCTCAAACGGAGGAGTTGAGAGCTGAACTTCGGAGAGGCTGGCTTAGACACAACAACTGCAAGATCACCTGACAACATCTGCTCCWATCACTTTTATTCTGGTAAAGAAATATTTGTATTGGAACCATTTTTTTCATGATTTGGTACATCTGCTATGGCTAGCTTAGCTATGCTATGCTAAACCTCCACATCGTAAACACTCACTCCGCCTGTGTAGACACCTACAGTATATTGTAATTTTAAGAATCAGTTGCTTGGCACGCTTCAGAGAGTAATCAAAAATGTCCCAGTCCTTAGTGCTGATACAGTTTTTATTGTCATCTGGTCTGGTGGTTAACACTGTCACCTCACATCATCCTGGGTTCTATCCTCAACCAGAGTTGTGGATAGGCTCGTGTTAGGAGGTCAGTAATATTTACAAAGAAATGTAGCCATTTACAACTTACAAGTATCAAAGGATATCATAGTGAAAACAATTATTGTAATCCTGAGAAAAACATCAGTCATGTTTACTGACTAGCCTAATTAGCTAAGCTAATGTAGCATCTCTCTGCAAACTATGTTGAGGGACATGTATGTTATTGTAATGAATTATTTGCCAGTCACTACAACCTTGTTATTCACAWGAAGAGTTGGGATGTCCTTTACAGAGCCATAACACTGATTGTGTTCAACCATGATTGCAAGCAKTGAAGCTTCTCCGTTGTGTAGGCTCTCTGTGTGTGTTAGCTAGTAGTTAACTGTGTCGTCATAAGAGATCGGAGGCAGCTTGTCTGTGTCGTCTGAAATTTCTCCATTCTCTACCACATACAGGTAAATCCCGACAACAGCAAATTTTTGACGTATCTTTCGCTCTAACATTCGTATCAACCATGGAAACCATGGTGATTTTGGTTGCCTGCAGTAATGGCCGTTCAATGGTGAGAATCACTTCCGGTTCAGACATGTTGGGAACCATCTAYTCTGAAGTTGTTGTGCAATCACAGCTGCCTAAACTCTCCTCTGACATGCTTCATATTTACATTTGATCTTGCTGCTTCCTGCCTACTGTGGTGCAGAATGTCACTTCTAGAATAAGAGCGACCAAACAGAAACAAACTCACGCATTRATCTCATCATAGCATTAACACAATCTAACACTTTCTAAGATCACATGTTGGTGTAAATTCTCAGTCATCCAGGACATGACAAATGCAGAATGTTTAAAAAAGATGAAGCAACTGGACCTCTGTTCTGTAGCTAAAGGCAYGCTGTTACAAGCTTTAAACTGCATAACGTTGATATTGATGACATCAGTATCCAAATAGACCTGCGTACTCCTGCCTCAATAATGTAAAAGGGCAATGAACTTTTAGAGGGAAGTCGCTTTGTAAAACATCTAATATGCATTTGCTTTATCACCACATTTGAAGAAGACCGTGGTCAGATTGGAAAAATAAATAAATAAATAAATAAAGATGTGTAACTCTTCAAAAATCCAATACATTTTGGATGTTGTTCTTGACTTGCATGGGTGCGGGGGGTGTTGCAGTGGGTTTGCAGCCTTAGTGTCATTAAATTGACTTGGATTGAATTAACAGAGTAAGTTTTGCTGCTTTGACTGTTCTGTGTGGAACCAGAACAGGTGTTTACGATCAGAGTAATGAGGTAGTGACAACACTGCTCTGTTGTTGGACAACAGGCAGTACGACGGCTCAGTGG